TCCTGCATACAGACGCTAGCGGCCACGGTTTAGAAGCCATGCTCCTGCAGCGCGACAACTCTTCGCGAGAGCGAGTCGTTGCGTACGCCAGCCGCGTCCTCTCCACAGCCGAGAGGAACTACATGATCACTGAGCAGGAGTGCCTCGCCATCGTTTGGTCAGTGCAGAAATTTGGTGCTTATCTGCATGGCCGCCATTTCACCATTGTGACCAACCAACACGCCTTATGTTGGCTTTCGACACTCAAGAACTTGTCGGGCTGCCTGGGCCGCTAGATTCTACACCTACAAGAGTATGATTTTGACATCGTATACATGTGTGGCAGAAAGCATAGTGACGCCATTGCTCTTTCTCGCTGCTCACTACCAGTGCCTCCACTCAGCGTTTCCGCACTCACTTTGCACAACACACACTAGGAGTCCACGTCTACGGCGGTTTATTCTCTCGCCTCTATGGACCAGCTGCCTTCGGACGACCCCAACGATTTTTCGTCTATACAGCTGGCTGACCCATAATGCGGACGTATTATAGGCTACCTCACTGGCAGTTCCCGTGCACCTAATGCGAGGATCCGTCGCCAACTCTCGCAGTTTAGGCTGGACAACTCGATGCTGTACCACAAAATTTAGCACCCTGACGATCAGCGCTGGGTTCCCGTTCTACCCCGATCGCTTCGGTCCGAAGTCCTCAGAGCACTTCATGACCATCCGACTGCTGATCACCTTGGTTACCATAAGACCCACGATCGCCTTCGAAGTCAGTTTTATAGGCCAACTATTACCACTAGTGTAGCTTGTACGTCGGTTCTGCACTACCTGCCAATGTATAAAACTACCCACATCTGCTCCAGCCGGTACACTACAGTCTCTTCCGTGCCCAGCCACACCATTTGAATTCGTAGGCATCGATCATTACGACCTCCTTCCAGTCAGTGCTGCTGGAAACCGATGGATAGTAACAGCTGTTGACCATTTGACACGCTACGCTGAGACGGCATCTGTCACTACAGGTTAGCTTCTGAAATTGCCGATTCATCCTCCGAGCCATCACACTGCGTCATGTTGCTCTACGTGTATTGCTCAGTGACTGTGGGAGGGCCTTCCTTTCACAACTAGTGAACGAACTTCTTCACTCCTTTGGCACAACTCACAAGACTGCCTCTAGTTATCATCCCCAGACTAACGGCCTCACTGAGCGATTCTAGCGCACTATTGCTGACATGAGCGCTGCCTATATTCAACAAGACCACAAGAACTGGGATGTAGTTGTACCATTCGTCACTTTCGCCTAAAATACGGCTATTCAGCAGACAACCGGCTACTCACCCTTTTACCTAGTTTATGAACGCTCCCCTATTTCTTTCCTGGAAGTCTCTTCTTTACCTGCCACGCGAATTCATCTCCAACTTCTTCAAAGGAATACGTTTTACGGCGTTTTGGAGCCGCTAACGTACTCGTATAAACACTGAAGCCCGACAGCAAGACAGAAAGCTGGTTTATGATGAATCGCATCGTGCTGTATCCTCTTAACCTGGAGATGAAGTATTCTTTTTGACGAATATTCGCACACCTGGTTTGTGCGACAAATTCCAGCCACAGTTTATCGGGCCGTACACAGTTCTTGAAGAAACTTCACCAGTGAATTATCACGTGACACCACTTGTAGCCCCAGCAGATCGCCATTATCGAACTACTGAGGTCGTCCTTGTGTCCTGTATGAAGCCCTTCATGTGACGTTCTTCGTCCCCTTGACTTGCCGTGGCCAGGCTGGCCGCTTTCACGGGGGGGGGGGGAATCAGTGTAGGCATTTATTATACCAATCGTCTTCATCTGTAAATTATCATCATTAACATGTGTTGCTGATGCATCCTCATCGTTGTCACGTAGCATCATCATCTTGGTTCGTTCATCTCTGCTGTCGGCTGCCGGTTTCTCGGGCCTAATAAAGGTCTCCCAAACCAAGACTTCATACTATTCACTTATAAAGAACATATTTGTTGCGTATATGCGCTGAAAATTCCTAATGCGCGCAAAAACGCGAATAATGTTCTAGTTTTTTTTGTAGCTTTCGTCGTTTTGCTCCCTGAAAGATAGCGTTGCAGCAAAATGTATTTCGTTGTTAGCAACGTCAACAGATTCAGTACGATGCACAATATTTCATTGCGCAACGTCGATATGTTATGCAGTATGTAATGTATACAGTGTTCTAACTAGAACATTTATTTATGTTTGCTACACTTACGCCGGCGCTAAAAGGAGCAACCCCATACCACACAATATCTCGAGTGATTAGTTCTCTAGTAATGAAGGAATGAACTCCGGTCTTGTTCAGAGCATATGCACCTTATCCCGATATTCTGAACCCGGGAACTCCGACAAGAACTGCAAGCACATGCAACACGAGTTCGCTTACGCTGTATTGTGCACCATCCATGCCGGACGGTTGTCTGTTTAGGGAATTCTGATGGGAGTCGCCGGAATTTCACTGCATCAACTCCTTGGGAATTATTCACAGTTGAGACATAGGATCACAGCGCGACAGACACTACCATCCTTTTGTAGGGGCGCAATCACAAATGCGAGACATTTCGCGCACAGAAAAAGCTAAGATACTGGGTGAGTGCGAACTTACCGGGTCCTGAAGGGAAGCGGAAGAAATGTATATCTGCGAATCTTGCCGCCAGAAGAAAAACGAGCACTAGTGTTTCAAGTGGAACTTTACCAGCCCCCATGTATTACTAATAAAAATCTCGTACCTCGCATTCAGTGTACCTCACATTCAGCCGTAACTTTGCTGAGCATGTTGCTTTCTAGCAGTGCGAATTCCCGCCCTTGAAATACGCTGCCTACGTTCATTGCTGAGTATTTCATGCTCTGTCTTGATCAGCGTCTCATAATGAGACTCAATGACTGCAACAAAACGCAGTAAGCAACACTTGATGATTATTTCTTGAAAGGCGACGCTGCTCCCATTGTACACTTTACAACTGGCTAAAAAGCTACAGTGGTTGAAGAAACGATTCCCAGTTGCTGTTCTGTACTGCCTGACGCTGCTTTCAGTGCATACTCTGCAACTAAGCCAACAAAAATTTAGTGCATCTAAAGTGATTGCTTGTCTTTTTACGAACAAGTGCACAGTCTTGTTGAAGTTTTGCTTTGCTAGTCAACATAAGCATTTGCTTCCATCTACGTTCTTAAGGCCTGACCCCACGCACTCGTTGCAGTGCATGAGCGCCTCAAATTTCGACGCGGCGCCATGCCCACCACTTGTGGAGATAATGGCCTTACAGCTTCTTGCAGCCATGTGCCCTCTCTCTTTAAAGGAACAGGACGCAGGGCTGTGCCAGAAAGCCCAACGCTTACGCGCTGCTGCAGGTACGTGTGGTCAGGCCTTCAACGCGCGCCCAAGAACCACCTTGGTGATTGGAGTGAGGCACTTACGAGCGAATGCATGAAAACTAGAGCATTTATATAGAGAGGTACTACATAAAAATTTCGGAAGAGGTGTCGATCATGCACGTATCTCTTACATCCCAAAACGTGCTAAGTGTTTTGGACGTGCAAGAACCACATTCAAATACTGGCGAGTTTTTCGTAGAAAAGCATGGAGACCACGTTTGCTACTAGTCTTAACCCTCTTCATGCTTGGTGAGAAGAGTAAACAATTTTCATTATTTGGCAGCAACCATGCTTGTGTGTAACAAAACTCAAATTTCCCTTGAAGGACAGCTTGTCATAGCAACGCACCTTTGTGTCCAGAAGTTCTGTTTACTCGCCGGCAGCGGTCCGACAGCCGCACATTGCTGTCACTTTATCTGGTCAATGGCGTCTCGTGCTGTGAGTGTCCTCACCTAAATACCTTACACTGTGGTTTCAGATGTAGAATTACCCGAAACCTGAGATCAGCGCTCGTGTGAGTGAGCCACTACGCTAGAGAATATATATAAGCACTGTGACCATACCTTGTGGAGGCGCGTGTGGATATCGACGAGCGGGATGGCGTGGCTCGAGGACTTTTAAGGCCTGACAACGCGTATTGTTTGCATCGCGTTGACGCGTGGCTTTTTCACGAGGCACCATGGCACCTTCTTGTAGAGAGAGTGTGCGTGTAGCAGCGCGAAGCTGTGCGATTTTATCCCAATATAAAAGAGAACTCGGCACCGCGTCAAAGAGATACGCGCCGACGCGCTGCAACGGATACGTGAGATCACGACTTCAAAGCATGCGCCCAACGCGCGCCCACGCGCCATCTCGCTACTGATGACGACGATGCTCTGAAGTCGCTGAGCTGTTATAACTCGCTATTAGGAATTCCTAGAGTGTTCGCTGAGTGGCTTAGTGGTAAGCTTTACGCGTTTGTAGTGGGAGGTCGCTTTCTCGACACACCGCAGCGGAAGTTTACATTTTCGTTTTTTTTTGCAGCCTGTTCGTATATCCTCCACAACGTCATATCCGTGACAGAATTACGTCCGCGAGACCATGGTAGACCCCGGCATACAGAATTTTCATAAAAAAGGCATCATCAAGCGTTCCACACTCTCTATGGAAGATAAATGGCCCCAATAGTTTCGTAACGTCAAGTACCACCCCAAGCAGACCTTAGTGCCTCATCAAAGCTGCGCGTCCACTGCTTCTCTCTGGGCTCGCCCTGTGCTTTTTATATTATAAAGGAGGTATAGGCTCGGTAAACAGATGCGTTTTTTTATTCCTTCTCATCACCATCATTAGTCTGACTACACTCATGCATTGCAGGGCAGATGCCTCTCCCATAATCCTCCCACAAACTCAAACTTGTGCTGTCTGCTGGCCCAATTTAGCTGCGCACTTTTGAATCTCATCGGTGCACCTAACAATCTACGCGTCATTGATTTAAATTTTACAATGTTTACTGAAACGTCATGCTGAAAGCGCTCCACATATTTGTACAATTTCATGTTTTACTGAAAGTCGTCCTTTCTTGTAGTTTTTTACGACGTATCATTCACTTTTTTTACGCTGTAGGTACACGACATCGAGTTTGCGCCAAGTATCGACGTGGTTATCAACGAGACTCTTCCTGCCCTCGAAAGTCTTCGCCAGGCTGGAATAATTCACTACATCGGTGTCACTGGCTACCCGCTGAACACGTTAAAGTGAGTAGCTCGAACGAGTTTATGCCGCTTTGTGTATAACAGAAATTTGCACACATTTCTTTCAGAAGAACAGGAGCCTTTTTACTTTGCCGGATTCTCACAGTTTGCTTGTCTGAATCTCCCAAGCTATCAAAGTCATCGAAGTCATAAAGGCAATTAAAGTACGTGCAAAGTGCAACAATAGACGAAGAGGTGCCATAGAACTTATAAAAGAATTTCCACTTCTCTAGTGGACGTGTAATAATTGTTATCAACACGAAGGACTACATCATAGATGAAAAAAGGCAGTTACAGGACAGAAAACTTTGTAAATCGCTTCATTCTCGGAAATTATCGTTAAGTATTCAGGCAACGAAAATCCGCAAAGTTGCAGTGCCTTCAATGTTTACGTGCAAGACCATTACTATTCTGTCCGCCACGCGGAACTGATGAGAAACATGAAGTCATGCCTCTGTTATGAAAATGTTGAAGTCAAGTTTATGAATAATACCGGGGTATCAGTTGCCAGTCTTCCAAAAATCTTCGCCTATTATTTCAAATCTACATTCGTTGGATGTCGCAGAGAGATGTATGTTCAGAATTCCAGAGTCTGGATTGTGTAGAAAGAAGCTGCTCTTCTCAACAATACTTCATTGGCCGTAATAGGACAAGAATATTGATAATAATTGCTTGGTCTGACCAAGATAAGTCTTTCGGTTCGTTGGCAATGTTATAGTTATATTTGTGAAAGTCACGAAATGTTGCAATGTTATGTTTCAAGGTGTTTAAGGAATATGGGATGTGTCTTAAGTTCACAAATTATGTTGCCCATAATAACCAGTTGCAGTTGCTTGATCCAAAATTTCACATTCAAGGGGCACATATGTTGGCTGTATAATCCTAAAACAGTAAACTCCTATTGTCGACTTTAGAGGACATCCGAGGGAACCACAATTCTACGACCACATGCTCACTACATATCCACCGAGAGAGACAACCAAAGGCACTCTATGGACGGAGAGCTTGAACATGGTCGCTGTATGAACAAAAAAGGGGAACGTTAGTACGAAATGCCTAAGCGAACCCCACTACCCTTTGTCCACACACTCGGTTCTCGGGCCGGCGCCCACGTGGTGGAAAGAGTAAACAGTGTAAACAATTTGTATGGTTGGTACACCCACCTGTTTAATGATAGTTTCTGCGGCTGTCCGTTTATTCCTCTATTGCGCGCCGACTAAAGATGCCCAAGTTGGCAAACTTGCTCATTAAGCAGGCGACCAATGATGTTATTTACGTCATTGTAGGTGTGGTACCTCGTTGTCCGCGTTTCTGTTTCCGTTAGAAATTAGCAGCGTTCTTCGTATGTGTAGTTGCTTATACTTTCAGGGATGTATAATAATTGCTCTCTGTTGGGGTGCTCAACACCCACAAAAAAATAGCCAGCATAATGTTTCTACTCATTCACCGTGAGACTTTACGAGAAAGAACGACGGAAGGAACGGATCACCACGGTGCGTTTAAACAGACGAGCCACTGCGACATTGCGCGAAATAATTGCGTTTTTTATCGTTATCGAGCTTTCATTCTGGTGTATCGACGCTAGTTGGATGCACTCGACCATAGTAAACGACGAACGTTATCGTAGCCTAAGCATGTGCTGGTTCAGTTCGACCACCGTGCAAGGGTACTCGCTTAAATGTGCTGTATTTGTTATTTACAGAAACACCAATGAGGCAATCGTTGACTTGAGAAATACCAAGCAGTGATTTAGACGTCGCGTTTCTAATCAGAACAAGTAGGATGTTCACTACGAGCTCTAACTAATACTGAGCCTTGTTACACTGGTCTGCATGAACCCCGTTAAAGATAGAGGGACCCTCTCTGATTTTAGAGAGAAGCGGCGATGTCCAGAATGTTCGTCTTGAAATAAAGAAACGTTCCTTCCTTTTGCCAAGGAGAAACCGTTTTTCCATATAAAATCAAGAGGCCTGACCCCGGGTTAGCGAAGCGAGTAAGCGAAGCGAGTTCATCGATTCTCGGCTGATAAAAAGTACATGACTACTGAAAATCGTAAACAGTCCCGCTGGGCTTCTTATCGAAATAAATGATCCTACAATCTAGCAGAGAAAACTGTGATGATGAAAACATCTCAAAACAGAACGACGGAACTCGTACGTTTCGTTCGGCCAGTGAGACGGCGTTCACATTGAAAGGGGCGGATACTGTGGAGTTCTCCCTCGAAGACTGCATGCTAGGCTCAGCTGTACTTATTCTCAAAAAGTGACGCAGTGCGGCGATGTTGTGCACGCGTTTCGGGGCAACAGGCCGCTAGTACTGCCCCCTAACTCGATCACAGCAGAACACAGCAGTGTACAGCAGAACAATTCGGTTTAGCGGTGCAAATTTCGAATAGATAGATGTTCAACAGTTTTCAAGCAGCTGGAGCTGTGACAGCGCCCCAGCCGTGAAGAAGGTGGTGTCATCTAGAAGGATTGAACTAAAAGTGAAAAAATGGGCAGATCCCATGTACAGTGGGAATCGATGAGATGCGAAGCCCGAATCAGAAAGGATGATATGTCACTTTAAAATCAGCACAACTTTACGAGGTGGAGGTAAATGATGCCGTACATGACTTCCGTGCCATGATTATCATGCTTGTATGTGTCCTTTACTTTGTGATCTATTCAAGTCACGTGATACAAAATTCAGTATACGTGGAGCTAGCAAAGCGCCCGCGAGCATGCTATGAGCGTGGTATGTTGCCATGTTCCTATATATCACGCGTGTCAAGATTATCATGTTCGCACCAGTCATATATTTTGTCATCCAATGAGGTCACGTAACACCAAATTTGGTGTATGTGGAGCTAGAAAAATGATTGCGAACGCATCATGAAGGGGCCAATATAGGCACCTGACAGAGCACCAGAGTGCGCGACGAAGCTCTTTAGGCCGCCTCAGCATTTTTGGTATACCGATCGCCAGGAATACTAAGAAAATGGAACGCTCGCTGAACACAGTGACACGCTAAAGTGTCAGTGCCTTTTTTGGCACGTTTCTAAAAAATGCTTCTTGGCGCTTACATAATCAGCCGTGACCCCCTTGCAAACACACACAAAAAAATTATATACATGCGCAAGTTCGGTTTTGCTGCGCCTACTCGCTTTGCTGCGCATGATAAGACATAGTTTTGCTGTGCCTACTCGCAAGGCCGTGTGTTATGGCGCTACCATCAGATCTCTTAAACTGCATTGCCAGGTGCCTATACTTCAATGCAGTGTCGACGCGCGCGCATGCTCGCAGAGCGACGCTACGTTAGCGAAACGCGAGCACTGTATAGTCTGACGCAAGGCGTGACCGGCGCGACCAGCGTTCGTCGGCGCGGCCTGGCGAAAACTGGCGCAAAATGCGACATGCTGCATTTCGTGCCGATGGATTACTCGGACAACACTACGGCTTCCTCTTTTAGTGAAGGAGGGACGCCGGACGCGCTGAAACGCGCATGTGAAAAGCAACGCAGCATGCGTCTGCGAGTATATGGCCGAACCGGCGCCTGGTGTGGCAACGCCGGCGTGACGCAACGAAAGAACGCCAGTGAGCACGTGCACCACTTCACGTTGAAATGTATTGACTCCTTGACTGTGGCACGTAGTCACGTTCTCACATGACACGCATCTCATGATTGTCATGTTTCCACACTTCACATACCTTCGTCATCCATTGGCTTCACGTGATACAAAATTTGGCATATGTGAAGCTAGCAAAACGGTCGCAAGCGAGTCCCGAGTGCGGCATGTAGCCATGTTGGTACATGACACGTATGTCATGATTATCATGTTTAGATGTGTGATTTACCTATGTCGTTTGCTCGCATCGTCTAATACTGAGTTTGTTACATGTGAATTTATTGAAACCGCCACGAGCGCATTATGAGGGTAGCATGTAGTCGTGTTGTTACATGTTAGGCATCTCATGATTATCATGTTTGCACCAGTCACATACCTTCGTCATCCAATCCCGTACTGTAATGCCAAATGTGGTATGTGTGACGCAAGCGAAACGGCTGCGAGCGCATCATGAATGTGGCATGTGGTCATGTTGGTACATGAGACGCGTGTCGTGGTTTTCATGTTGGGGCTGTTGCTTGTGTTTGTCATGCAATCATTTCATACCATACTAGTTTCGTAACATGCGATGTTAATGAAACTGCCGCAAGAGCTGCAGGACCATGAAATGTGAATCATGACATGCATAACATACATATAAAGACTTTCATGTCTTGATTAGTGAAATATGTTTTTCATACAGTCATGTTATGCCATACCAAGTTTGGTATCGATACTATCATAAAAATGGCCAGGATAGTTAAAGTCGTAGGTGGCTAGATAGATAGATAGATAGATAGATAGATAGATAGATAGATAGATAGATAGTTATATAGATAGATAGATAGATAGATAGATAGATAGATAGATAGATAGATAGATAGATAGATAGATACGTTAAAAGTCGCCAAAGTTCGCTAAGAAATGCTTCGCATATGAAAAAATTGGCAGATCCCCCGTACATTGGAAATTGGTGACATGTGAAGAACGAATGACAAGTGTTAATATGTCACTTTAAAATTAGCACAATGTTACAATGTGGAGGTAAATGATGCCGTACATGACTTCCTTCTCATGATTAATATGTTTGCATGTCTCGTTTACTTTCGTCATCGATTCAAATCACGTGACACCAAATTAAATATATGTGGAGCTAGCAAAACAACCGCGAGCCCGCTGTGAGCATGTTGTGTTGTCATGTGCTTACATGACACGCATGTCAGGATTATCATGTTTGCGCCAGTCATATACTTTGTCATTCACTGACGTTGCGTACACCAAACTTTGTATATGTGGAGCTATAGCAAAACGGCCGCGAACGCATCATGGAGGCCCCAATAAACTTCATTGTAGCATTGACACACGCGCACGCTTGGCACAGCGACGCTAGTTAGCAAAACACAAGCACTCCAAAGTCTGAC